TGTTGTTCAGCATGGGGGTGAGTAGAAGATGAAGGCTAATCATGTTTTGGGTGTACTATTCCTTTAATGTTAATCCTATTCTCTAAATTTCATGGTAGCTGTTTTTCAATTGTACAGAGTATTTGTCTCATCAGTGCTATTGTCTTATTTTTACACCAAAAGGACCTGGTATTTTATCAGGGGTTTGTAAATCCTTTTCAGAGGCACCAGAGATTTGCTCAGCAGTTTTTCAACCCCTCACAGTGGAACAATAAAACATTTTATGTATAAAACACCTATTTCTCTACCTGTTTAATAACTGGTACTTTAATTAATCCAATCTGCTGTGCAGTCTCATTTTACTTGCTGCTGTCATGAATTGGAGATACATATTTACCCTGTTATATAGATTTACAGACGTATAACAAATGCTGAAACTGTTCATATAAACAAATTAGTTCCTAAATTATTTGTATGAGTGGTTGAGGATAAAATGTCGCTTTCACCATTTTTCTCCTATTACAAATTTTTTCTCAGGTACGAAATTTTTTTTACGAGTGCTCCAGACAAAGTCTTGAGCAATCAGTTGGCTGTTGTCCAAGTTTTTATCCTGTTTTTTCACTAAATTACCACATTTGTTTTATCGATTTCATCAAGCCCTCCAGCATTATAGATTATGTAACTCTGCAATGATAAATTGAAATTTTTATTAGCTCATGACAGAACTGTCAGTCACAACACCTGCAGTTGGTATTTCAGTATCCAGGGGAAACTGGTCAAATTTTTTGTCATGTTGTCAAAAGAAAGAATAGTCAGTGAGCTTTATGTGAGAGCAAGCTACTACTGAAATAAAACCTGGAACAGAAAATGGATGGAAAATCCAAATAAAGTTCAGAGACTTGCTGCTTTTAAACTCCTCTAGCGGTACGACATGCATTCCTCCATGAATATGAGCTTCCAACTCCATGGAAGCTCTTTGGCTTTATTACATAACATGTGGAACATTTGGGTCTGTCTGACTTCATCAAATTAGATGAAGTGATGACAGATGTGGTCTAGAGATGTACAGTAAACATGTGCCTATATTAAAAGGAGATTTAGCAGAATGACATGTGTTGGTTAAGAATCAGAAATATTTTAATAATCCCAGAGGGAAATTACTTTAGTTACACGCTCCAGTTACAGTTTTAAATATATATATACACATCCAACTACACAATATAATAAATATAAAAATAAAAAAGAGATAAAAATATATTGACATATAGCTCTCCTGTGTATATATATATATATATATATATATATATATATATATATATATATATATATATGTATATATATACTGTATATGCATATATAAAACTAAATCCAAGTAAAATAAAAATCCAAGTAAAGTGATAAATCCAAGTAAAGTGATATGTGGCCTGAAAAAATAGTGCATAAATGTCAATTACAGGGGAATCACTTGAGGGAGGCGTTATAGAGATTGATGACCACAGGTAGGAATGACTTCCTGTGGCGCTCTGTGGTGCATCTGGGTAAGAGTCGTCTTCTGCTGAAGGAGCTCGTCTGATGGACTAGTGTGTCGTGGAGAGGATGTGAGTCATTGTCTAAGATGGACTGAAACCTGGACAGCATCCTCCTCTCTGCCACGATGGTCAGGGTGTCCAGCTGCTCCCCCACAACATCACCGGCCCTCCTGATCAGTTTTTTCAGTCTGTTGTTTTCAGCGACCCTCAGCCCACTGCCTCAGCATGTCACAGCAAAGAAGAGCGTGCTACAGTAGCAACAACTGACTCATAAAACATCTTCAGCATCGTCCCACAGATGTTAAAGGACTTCAGCCTCCTCAGGAAGAATAGTCGGCTTTGGCCCTTTTTGTAGACCGCCTCAGTGTTTCTAGTCCAGTCCAACTTATTGTTAAAGTAACTTATTGTTAAAGGTTGATTTACCTCCATCAGTAGTTTTCAGTGACTGTTTTCAGATCAAATTTCTTTTTATTTTAAGTTTTGTTATTATTTTTAATTTTATTTTTACTTCTGCAATCATGACATATACAGCTCTTGTGATTCATTTCACTGCTTGGCCTTTAATTCTGCTGCTCAGCTCTCAGTCAGCAGAACCTCCATCTCCAAAGTGATATAGTCACTATTCTTTGCTTCAATGCCATTTCTGTGAAGTAACAAGCGTGGGAAGTAGTACCCTGCTAGGACATTATTGGGGCGATAATTATGCAGATGCACATTTCTCTGTAGCACCTTCTTTTACAGTACATCAATGACGATTTAATAACCTGATATTAACACAGCAGGTTACACTATATTACAAGGTAACAAGAAAAAAATTATGGAGAATTTTACTAAGTGATGTGCTTCAAATTTCAGGCGGAAAATGTAAAGTCAGAGTTCTAAGATTTCCAACCGTTATTACCATCTAACTCATAGTAATTTCACAGACAGCAATCAATGAATGTGTTATATGTTAAAATGCTGTTAAAATGCTGTTAAAATGTAAAATTTTTATTACTAGGTGTATAACAGAAAACCAAACCTAGAAGACAGCAAACCAATCTTCTTTACTAAACTCTTATTTATGTGTAACTTGAGTTCCATTTTATATTTGTAGGTGGTGACCAATAATAAAAAATGTTACGTGCTAAACCAATGGTAATTACATTGTTACATAATCACATACAATTATAATAATTACATGCAAGTTATTATTTAGAAATCATATACCTTAATCTTAGGGTAAAGTTTTTCTTATTACCAAGTACTATAGTTCGGCTTGTTATGTTATTACTATGTTATTACATGATTATTGATGTACTGTAAAAGAAACCGTTACCTATTTCTCGGCATGCACGCTCACTTATGCACAGGCGGAATACATCATGTTTATGCGGATCATATTCATTTGAGTTCAAAAGTTTTTGTTGAATCTGATGTAGGGCATTCATAAGAGCACACGGTAGGAGAAAAGGTAAGAATATACTGTTACATGAGGCCCATTGGTAAAGGAACTGAGAAATCACAATTCCCGTTCACAATAATTTATTATGATGATTCCTTCTATTATTAGCTATCAATAAACCATGGTTATTTTTCTGGTATCCCAATATAAGAGACATGATTACTGTAATGAATGACTACACCTAGTTAAATGTTTGCGGTGCAGCTGGAAATGTTTACTTGCAACAAGTAGATCCTGAGTTATACTCCTAACCTTTCTGCATGGAGTGTGCATGTTCACCCAGTGTACACCAACTTCTTACAGTGCAAAATCATGACAGTAAGATTTTGAAATCATCCTTAGGTGTTAGTATGTATGTTTTTTTCCTTCCCCTACAGGTTGTACCCCACCTTTTGCTCAGTGGCTGCTAGAAAATAGGCACCAGCTTCTCTGTGACCCAGCAAGAATAAGCAAGTTTAAACAATAAAGGGATGGATTTTGCTTTCGGGTTCACATTAGATTATTAACTTTTATGCCCTGAAGCAACATGAACCTGTTGACTTTGTTTGCCTTGTTTTCATGTTGGCGTTCTATGCAGGCAGTAACAGTTCTCACTTTTCCACCCTTAACTTTTTATTTATTTATTTTTTTTGTAATGAGGTAAAATCTGCTTTTTGCTCTTAGAAGTAGATTTAAACGATTTTAGAAACTAGTAAAGACTAAATCCTTTGAAAGATGCCCAGATAAATCACGATGTGTCTTTTTTTTCATATGGTTTAATTTTAAGATGATTTATCTTGTTTTTCAGCATTGTACCAATGCTGACAACCACCCCATAGTGAACAGAAACAGCAGAAACTCAGCCCTCCATTGGCCTGATGTCTTTACTAATAGTATATTACTTATAATCTCATTCATAGAGCACAAAAATTTAGGAGCAAATTAGCTTTTATTTGTGCAACTTATATTATAACAGAGCAATGCTCACAATAAACTATTTCCTTTTAAGTTTGCAAGATGTAAATCAGCAGATAAAAGACATTTAATTACAAAACTGGCTTGTCGTTTCAGAAATGTTCTGGGGTAGAGTTGAATGCCCTGCATAAACGAGCTTAAATAACGTAAAGACACAGCAGCCTTCAGGCTTAAATTTAAAACTGGAACTGAGAAGAAAAGCAGATCAAACAGTGATGGAGAAGCTTTTCTACACATTATCATCAGGTGTCTGGGATTCTGCCTGTGCAGGAGACGCAGATGGCTTCAGCAGAAGAAGAAGGGCATCCACAGGAAGGATCGCATGGCTGCCCCGGCTGCCATGCCCGCCAGTATTCCCAGTGCAACGCTCTCTGCCACGCCATCAAACGGATCTCTCTGCACAATCACCTGGTGGGTTCCTTAAAGAAAACAGGACAGTGGCCATTTTGTAATAAATATCATTGCTATTATGTAGAAATTACGGTATATTTCTGAGGGTAAATTAAAACATAAAATCTACATTTAGTGAAGATAATAGCGTTTGTTTTGTTTTTCTTATTGTGGCAAGCTGGTTAGGTTTAGAAATTCTGGCTATTAAAAATAATATCTAAAGGGTTTCAGATCAAATAAAGCTGGTTAAGGGTAATAAGTTTTTTTTTTTACTTTTATTGAATCAACATTTTTTTTGTTATAATTCCAGGTCAGTGTGAAGTTAGGAAATTGAGCCAACATTGAACCTTTTGCATTTTTAATAACATGGTCATGTGCAGTTAAACTGAAAGAAGAGGTGTAGATATTGAAGATAAAAAGCTCCTTTTTGAACAACCTTTGATTCATTTTCAGCATTCAGTCCTGTTTTAATTTCACAACCACCTTTAATTATAATGATCTTCTGCCAGTCATCATGAACCGAACAGTTTGGAAATATACTTACAAGTAGAAATATAAAAAATTTGCCAATTTGTGGCTTTTAGTAAAATCCATAGTAAGAAGAAATGGAAAATTGGATTTTATCATTTAAATATACAAGTCAGGAAAAGAATACAGTGAAAGATTAACATGGTAAAAAGCGATTAGACAAAAAATTGGAAAGGATAAACAAATGTCCAACAATGAAACCAAACTACAAAATAATGTCATGTTACCAAGGAACCCTATACCTACAGTAAAGCATAGAGGTGGTTGCATTATGAGGAGATTTTTTTGTTAAAGTGGATGTATATTTGAACAACCCAATTTCAGAGACATAGACAGGTATCGGGTATTGCAGGCTAACAAAGAATCCAAACGACAGCCCATTCCTAAGTTTTCTATGCCAAAACAAGGTTTTGTTTTGGGTCCACTCTATAAAGCCTCAAACTCAACGCTATTTTTGAAATTTTTAATTGAAAAACTTCCTGGATGGGAAGCGAAACATCTTCAAACTTGGAAACAAATTCCAGTGGATTGTTTTTTAACTTTTTGGAATGACTGTAACCTGGATGATTGAGAATCTTCACCAGCAGATATTTGAACAAGTTGGTAAAACCACAAAAATACTTTCAAGATGAAGGCAGAATATAGGTTTTAGTGTCACTGTACATCTGAGTCTAAAGAGTGACAAATGTTTAAAAAAAAAAAAAAAAAGAAAAAGTGTGACAACAGTAAGCTAGAATTAAGAACTTCATCCAACAGTAGATCTGTGGGATCACCTGGAGGGAGCTTTGGACAAGATATGTCCCCAAAATCTTACATACATGGAAAACCTTTCAAAGGCTAAGTAGGAAAATGTCATCAAAGTGGGATAAAGGCCACTGCTGAAACTTAATCCAGTGTTACCCCAAAATATCACTTCAAGTGCACACTTAAGCAATCTGATTGTTACAGCCATCTTTAAGTGGAATTTTTCAGAATACACATCGAATAAAAGGTGTGAAAAACAAAAAGAATCATTATAACTTCCAGTAATGTGATGTATTATAAGGGAGGAGAACTTTTAGCTTAGCAAGTTAAGAGAGCCATTTAGTGATTAAACTACAGTTCACTGAGGTTTATTTCAATTCTCATTTTAGTGAAGATTTGGATGCTCTAACAGCCCTATTAAACAGGTTTCAGAGCACAATAAGCCTGACCGTTTTGTCTCCCATCAAACTTCCCTTCTGCTGTTGACTTCACTTGCAAATCAGGTGTGCCCACTTAAAACAATTTCTCTGTTCAAACTGCAAAAAAAAATGTGCATCTCTATAGCTGTTATTTGTGTTCAGCTTGGATAAAAAGTATCTGCTTTAGTCTTGTTTATGCAATTCTGATTTTAAAATTCGGCTTGCTGAGTCAAGTGGTCCACATTTGAATTTGATCACACAGGCAGCTGGTGTTTGAAGAAAACAGTGAGAATAAAGAGCGATGTTTGCAGGAAATATCAGGGTTCAAACTCATAAAAAAAACAGAAGAGGAGGCTTGTTCTCTGATTGTTTTTGTGTTTGCTGTCAGCATTCAGTTGAGTTTGTGAACTTCAGAGACACCCTTCCCCGGGCATAGGGCTTTGAAGCTCTGCAAAATAAACCTGGCAACTTTAAAAGGATGAGAATAAGCTTATTTGACATACCTGGTCCTGCTCCAGGTGTGATATAGACAGTGTGGTAGTTGCTGAGTGGGATAGCTTGATAAGAGTCATCATAGGGGTCATATGTGAACACCTGCACAGAGGAAAAACTCTGCTTTTAGCAATGAATTGCTAGATGAAGCTTCAGAATTGAAGATCAACATAAAGAACTTACTGGGTTTCTTCGGGTTTCAAGTAGAGTTAGTTTCCAGGCTCTGTCCGAGGAAAAATAAAAAGGAAAATTGAATGAAATGCTGATGAATGCTTTAATATCAAAAGCTAACTCGATAGGAACGATGTACTTACAGGCATTCATCTTCGCTGTTTGCACCTAAGTTGAGTGTTGAGCCATCTCTGAGATGAATGGTGATAAGGTTTTCCCTTGGAATACCCTCTGGTGGGCTAACTCCTACAGACACACAGCAAAGACTTTTATTTCCCTCTGTTCAGAGTCCAAGATGTTCTGCCAGGATTTACACTCATCCCAGTAGGTAAAGATATTCATGTTTGGTTACATATTCCTTTGATTTGTTAATGCTTCTGGGCAATAAATCTAAAGGTATTTTTTTTATTATTATTATTCAAATTAGACTAAATTTTTTTAGGATTCAAATTTGTTGAATGAGTTTGTGGGTTTGCCATATTTGATGGCGATAGCTACATGTCTTTCTCCTCCTACCCACTAGGAGGTGCACTAGCACCCTTAATTGTGCCGTTTGTCAGCCGGTCACCAGATCCATCACTTATCCAAAGCAGACAGAGAAGATATGTTAAGCTAGAAGTCTTTCATGGTATATTAATTCTTAAATCATAACTCCTGTCAGTGTTTCTATGCGACTTTATTCCCTTTTACAATTATCTTGCAAAACGTGTTTAGATCACTAGGGTTTAAATGCAAAGAACCATTTTCTCAGTTGGAATCTAAAAAGGTTGATTATAAAAGAGCAGTTAAATAATTTCACACTAAATGACTTGTAGAAAAAGCTGATAAACTTACAGTAACATGCCTGTGCCATGTTGCATTACCAGTTGACCTTTGGTTATCATTAGCAAATCGAACTTAGCAGTTCAGTAGGAACACGGTAACCTCCAGTTGGTTCAAATTGACATATGTCTTAACACAATGGTTATGTTTTAACAAAAAAGTCTTTTTAATGTGAAGATTAAACTCTCCGGGTACTCCAGCTTCCTCCCACAGTCCAAAAACATGATTGGATGGTTGGTTGGCTTCTCTAAATTCTCCTTAGGTGGGAGTGTGGTTGTATGGTTGTTTATCCTGTTTGTCTCTGTGTTGCCCTGCGATGGCGACCTGTTCAGGCTGGACCCTGCCTCTCACCCGACCACGACCCTGCTTGGGGTAAGCGTGATGGAAAATGGCTGGATGAAAATCATATTTTCATTGATCTGACAACACACGCCTATGTACAGCAGGGAGCAGTAATCACCTGTTGCTTGCAACCAGAGACAAGGGATCTGCTCATGCTTAGCAGATCACAAGCGATGCAGTTCATATGCTGACATTTTTGGAACATATATTTACATTGTCAAAGCAAAACCAACAACAAGATTTCGTGGTATGACTGTTTTTGACCATTTTTTCAACACAAAGACACATTTACAACTACATACATAAACATTACTTTATTTTGATCTTTTTGTTTACTATTTACTGCAAAGATATATTGCCAATAAAACCAAATTAGGATATTCAGCGTCCATCTAGGATATTTGACAAAACTGGCAATTGCCAAGTGTTCCCAAGTGGCATAAGCTGATTCCCAATTGGCATATACCATGTTTTTTAAAAGCGGCATGCCAGATGCCACTTTTGGCTCTTGCTGTCACTCCGACTTTAGGTTGATCTTTTTTTCATAGATAATGGCCATGCTAATTCTGCCTTGTTTATACACTGAGTGCTATTAAAAACTATTTTAAAAGTGGTAGAAATAAAAGCAATAACATCCAGACATCCAAAAACCGAGGAATACAGCAGAATCAAACTCAATTTAAATTCAGTTTATTTCTATAGCACCAATTAACAACGCATGTCATCTCAAGGCCCTTTCCAGTTCACCAGATCATCCAGTCAAATTGATTCAAAGTTTTTTATCTAAGGAAAACCAGCTGATTGCATTGAATCATTGACTCTAATGCAATCCACAGAAGCAGACATAGAAAAAGAAGCATAGATACAAAAGGCAACTGTCAACCAGCTCCACATTAGGCCCCGTCTAGACGAGCTCGGAGCCAAAAATGTGCTTTTTTTTAATGGTTACTCTGTTCGTTATATTCTTGTGACATACCTCCACATTCCAGGCCCGACCGCACATCAATACACGTCGCCTTGAGGCCAACACGTTGCTCTAGTTCTCGCCTGTTGTCACTCTTGTAGAAGCACAGACTGCCATCTATCCAAAGGTCGCACCAGTTTAGCTTCCAGCGTTTTAGGATAGCAGCTGGAGATCAAACACATGTCACAGTGAAATGTTAGTGCTTGTCAAGGATCTGATGTTGGCATAGTCCAAAAATTCTCACATTGCTTTTCCTGTTATAATATATTAAAATAATGAATTACCTTTAACGATACAACTAAGTCGTAGCATACCACTGGGATCAGTCCTCCCTTTAATTCTAGAGAGTGGAACTGATTGAAACATTTCATTATTAAAATATTTTGGTAAAATCCTTTTTTTCTTCATATTTATTTTATGATTAAAATAGTTGTTTGTGTAAAGACATCACTAAGTTATTCAGTCACCCCACAAAACACCTATTTAAAAATCTGATTATGTAATTGATGATAAATGAATCAAAAACCGGCTGCATGAGTTTGGACTCCCTTCAACTCATACTCTTATGTAATCCTGTTGATTTAAGTTCAGCATCAACAGTCTTCTTTGGCAAATGGCAAAATTAATTTTAACTTGACAATATTTGCAACTTGTCAACCAAACTATATACTGTTTTTTTTTTTTTTTTTTGAAAGAAAATCTGTCCTTGTCCCAACCCTACATCTTATTCTACACACATGGGTAATATAGGAGATTGTTGCCCAGTATACAGTAAACTGCTAACCTGACTCCGCCAGATGGATTTGCTTCGCATATCCATCTGGAAACCTTCCGTTGAAGTAATTTTGGGAAGGGGTGAAAATACTGGTTAGCTGATTGGCCTATGTTGGTGATAGACGGGCCAAATAAACCAATCAGATCAACGAAGCATATGACGTACTAACAGAGCGACGACGAAAACACAACCACAAGCCAGGCTACTCTTGCCGAAACCAGTCGGGAAAAGAGCAAAAACATCTTTTCCTCTGAGAAAAGCCTCCAGAGCAGTGTTTTGCTCTTCTTTCAGAGAAGAAATACTCTGTAATTCCGATAAAACTTGCTCGATAGCCACGCTAACGCTAGTTTCATCGGCTGAAGCCGCCATGTTCTTTAGACTGAACTGTTGCGCTTCTCGTTGCGTCACACCTCAACCCGCCTCAAAGCCAACTCTGATTGGTCGTTCGTTTGGTGAACGACTCCAAATTTTCTTTAACCGAGAGTCTCCAGACTGATCTGCGAGTGAAACCTTGAAAGCTCGCGAGATCGGGATGGTCTCACGAGGCTAGTAAACTGCAACCAAAACAAGGAAAGTCCTTCAGCTCCTTCATGATCAGGCTCTTAGCAGCCTCCCTCGCCTGTTTTCCATCTATTCATCACCTTTCCTGCCTTTTCTAATTGTTTGTAGTCTCATTGTTGTCCATATATTCTTTGGTTACTGATGGTAATGTTGAGGTACCTGTGCAGACTGAGATCCTTTCCCTCTAAGCAAACCATGTTTTTAACATCTATGGTCAGGGAAATCACACTGTGACTTTCATCCAATTCTCTAAGTTTCATGGCAGGTGTTTTTTTAAGTTGAGTTGTACAGGACATACATCATATCAGTGCTATTGCCTTATATTTACACCGTAAGGACCTGGTCTTTTATCAAGCAGTTCTTGTTGTTTTTACCCCTCACAGTAGAACAGTAAACCATTTCTTCGTGTAAAACTGCTATTTCGAAATAAGTTTCGAAATGTACACCTTTTTCTACCCTTGATCTGTTAGCCAATTAAAGACTTGGCCAAATACAATTAATAGGATTAGTAACTACTAAGGTTGGTGTTTCATAACTGGTACAGTTTGGGGTTTCTAGAATATTCTTGCTGTTTTCTGCTGAAGCACTGCTCAGATAATCGGAAGTAGTAACTTATAAATATACAGCTTGCAGAGCGGACAAATCGGAGGGGCTACAGTAGCTGATATTGATCAGTTAAAGATCAACATGTTTAACCTTTACCAAAGTAGAAAAAATACCCCCAACGTTTTTTTTTTTTATTATCATTAAACAGGTGATATTATAAGATTGTCTTCTAACAGATCTATAATATCAACTTCCCCTTTAATGTATCTTTTGGTCTAGATAATTATTGGATTGTTGCACTTTTGGCCCTCAAAATTGACCAGCATGTGTTAAAAATTTAGATGAAATGGAGAAGCTTTAAATGAAATATCCTGTGTTTACTTTTCATGCTGCTATAGTAACTAGCAGATAACCAGAAATGTACTCACTCTGTCTCCACAGCCAGCCGGACTTTAGGAGTGCCATGTTCTTGACTGCAGTCTGTTTTGTTGTTTTATTTTTATTATTATTCCAACAGAATCAAAAACAGGAAATTATTTTATTTCATGAGATTATACGATCTACAATCTGTTCTAGAACTCCGTGCCTGTGTCTGTTTATATTCGCTTTGGCTGGAAGATTATTCTGAGGCTGACTCACTGGATTAAGACGCCCTGCCCCTCTCATCCACTCTCCCCTTGCTCTTTCTGGGCTGAGTGTCCCGCTGACTCAGTTATTATTTCTGTTTTCATCAGAGTCTTTACGGCTACAAATAATCTCAGAAACATAAACTATTTGATTCATGTGCCTCTGATTTTTCTCATTTAAGGTACAACTAATTATACTAGTTAATCCCTGCTCTGAGATAGCAGCATGAGGATTAGCCTAATAGTCCCCAGGTCAGTTATAAGAGTCCCCACATGGTGGCTTTCCAGGTAAAAAGCAGTGACATGATTTCTGGCTATTGGCTAAAATAGTAACCCAAAATGTTTGTGAACATTTATTTTCTTTAGAAATAATATTTTCTAGAGCCTTTTCGGATTTATAGTCAGTATCTTCAGGAAAATTCTACTATTATTACTTTTCAGCGATGGTAGCTGAGGCGCCATACCGTGGAGAGACTTTTCCTTTCAGCAGGGATATGGAGGCGAGTCAGAGTTGATAAAACAGATAGATGGAAGTAAATCCAGTTTAATTCTGGAAGAAAACCTGTTAGAGGAAGCCCAAGACTAAAACAGGATGGACTTTCATCTTCTAGCAGAAAAAAACCCCCAAATGTGCAACTGAAATTACAACAGGATGGTTAAGACCAATGCAGAATCTGTGACTGAGTTTTAATTTGATGATCACAGATTTTACCCCTTAAATCTGACTGAGTTTGGGGTGTTTTACTACAAGAATAAGTAAAGTTGTCCAGCTAGTAGATATTAAATGCCGTAGAGACAAAACCTCAAAGAACCTGCAGCTGGACAAGTAGAAAAAGAATATTACTGACACTGGAGGGTTGAATAAAAATGCACAACATTCCTTTAAATTTCAACATAAAAAATATTGAAAACCATGCAAAATTAAAATTAATAGAGTAGTTTGTTGTTTTTTCCTGTAAAAATCAAATGGCTAAGATCTCAGATATCAAAAAGGAATTTTTGCAACACAAATTGTTTTATTACCTTTCACTCTATCTACGGTTTGTAACATAATCAGACCTTTGTAGTTTCTAATAAATTGCTTCTCCCTTCTTCTCCACTCAAAGGACTTCAGCTGATCTTCCTCCCAATATTTAGATCTCTCTATATACACTTCTATGTAAATATATGATAAAAATTAAACATGACAGTACATTTATTTGTTCATGATACCATGCTGCCATCTACTGGCAAGAAGTTGTATTATTAAGATGCTGACTCATAATTAAAAAGGGTTCTAAAGTGTTTTGTGGGGTAGTGAACCTAATTGAATTTCAAGTTGTGCTAATTAGAATTTTGATTTAGCTAACATGTTTAACTAAATATGTTTTTAATAAAATAAATTTTCAAAAAACTTGGTATGTTGCCTTAAACCTTAAAAGGAGCCATTCATAATGACATTATAGAAACACAAATTCAAAGGAGTTAGGATTTACGTGAAAAACTTGTTCCCTGTTCTATTCCATAACTAGGACGGAGTATTTGGGCCAGGCTAGAGTTTATTTCTTCTTCTATTTTGAGAATAAAGTTGTAACATTAAGAGAATCAGGGGCGTCGTATAGTTAGGAAGATTCTAAGGGCCCTTGAGTGAGGGGGGGCCCCAAAAGAAGAAGAAAAGATATGTCCCGCTATACTTTTCAAATATAAAAAGAAAATCCCATAGTGAAATAAATTATTTTTATGTTCTCCCTCATTTTTAAGCAGTAAACAGCAAAAAAAAGCATGAATATATTGACCAGTCCTACATCGCATCAGTTCTCCCGGGCGTGCCTCATTTTGAATGAAAAGTGATAATGAATGAAACAAATCAATGCATCTTTATAGCTGTTTGTTGAGATAGGCTCGGTGTATGCACCCTGATGCTCTAGCTCTCCGGTTCTTTTCCCTGAAAAGAGATCACTCGGGACAAACTCTTTAAAAAACTCTTCATAACTTATATGTAATAAATAACCAGGAGACATGACAACAGATTCTGATAGAAATTGTAATCTTACTCAGATCAGAGAAATTGCTTAGAGTTTACAGAATGGCAGCTGCTCACCTCTCAGAAAGTGTCCCTGATCAACAGTTAAATAAGGCATTTTATACATCTCCAGTCTGCCACATCATCACATCATTACATCATACACATTAGCAGATGATTAGACATCCATGGCTCCAGCCTTATGAAAATATTATACTTCGTTCTTAGCTGAAGGACACTGCTCTCATTCCATTTCCAAATCTTTGCCACATGCAGAATGAAGATTGTAACTGTACATCCAAATAGAGGAACTGTCTTACTTAGATTAAAACATCAGTTCTGATACTGCAACAGGCAGCCAATACCAAGGTGTAATAAACTCACACATCTTCAATGATAATTGTCCTAACAAGTTTAAAAGCTTACATACATTTTTTTTTTTTGGTGGGGCCAAATATCAATGTCTTTTCATGGGGCCACAAGTTCTCTTACGAGAATAAGTCCTAAAATTACGAGACACAAGTTGTATTTATGACAAGTCTTGCAAGAAGCACTTTCCTCCCTAAAATATGGAATGTGGAGCACAGAGGCGTAGCCAGAAAATTTTTATAAGGGTGGCCAGGCAATAACTTTTTTCTGAGAATTCTGACTTTAATCTCAGAATTCTGACTTTAATCTCAGAATTCTGACTTCAAACTCAGAATTCTGACTTTAATCTCAGAATTTTGGATCTTAATGTAGGTGGGCACCATGAAGGAAGAGATGTGGGAGCACTCAGCTTCACTGACAGAGATGCGAGTTGTTTGAGAGGGCCAGTAACACATTAGTGGAAAATGACGGAATTAGGAGACTTTTTACGTGTCTGAGGGTCACCGGTGATGCTATTTCATTAATGGAAGAGCAGAAGGTGATTAAAACAAGAGAGTTAGTTTCTAAAACAGACATGGCTACAGGTTGATGCTAACATGTTTGTTAGCTGTCAGAGTTCTGAGACTAAAGTCAAAATTTTGACTTTAATCTCAGAATTCTGACTATTTTCCCATATTAAACTTAAATAACTTTTAAAAATCTTTTTTTTTTTCAGTGGCCCTAATCCTCTTCCCTTTGGCCCTAATACTCCATCATACATAACAGTTTATTTTTTTTTCCTCATCTCAATGTTTTTAGAAAAGGAGTCATTTAAACAACGTCACTTCCGCTGGAGTGGGCGTGTCTTAATCTGTCAAACTAACCGAAGAAAAACAAAAACAAACCGAAGGCTGTGAGGCTCGGTGGACGGTGAGTGGGCCGATTACTAACCTAAACGTTTCTGGACGATATAATCAGTGCATATGTCCCAGAAACTGTGTGAACCTCAGTAGCCACCGATATGTTTCCCCCTTTATCAGCCTGGAGATAAGAGAAAACCACCAAAGTACTGAGTGTGCCGATGCGCTTTGTCTTCGCATGTTGCAGTTTTTATGGCCTGTTTCCTTCTAGAAACAGCCGAATGTTCTGCTCTGGGCTTTTCCGTTTTCACTCTTGGTTGTATTTGTTACAAACAGCCTTATTTAGTCTGCCTCCGTCCTCCAAATCCCAACAGCCTCTGCTTGGCTGAATTGAGACGAATTCGCCAAACTCTGCAGAAAAAACGACAATTTAATTTAAAATTGCTTTTCACCAATAAATTTAAAAGAGCGCAATGAATATTTTACCTTACTTTAGATTAACCATATCAGATGTATTTTTCGGTCTTATTTATTTGTCGATGCTTGCTATTGTTTTATGAAAAAGGAAGAAAAATATTTGAAATATATACAATACCAGTGCCCCTCTTTAGAGGGCAGCAGAGAGCGATGTTTAAAGTTTAACTTTTACTGTGAAAAGTAACTTTGAGGAAATCTGTGTGTGTTTAACAAAATAATCAATACATTTTTGTTTTCCTTTTAAAGATAAGCATGTATCTGTTAGTACATTACAATGTCAGTAAAGTTTATTTTTTTTAAAGATATTCAAACAGCATAGCCAATTACCATAAGGTAAGAATCTAGAAAGAAATCACCCATGCATTTATGTTTAGTAGAATTGATTACTGCAACAGTGTCTTCATAGGTTTGCCTATAAAGTCCATCAGACAGCTGTAGCTGATCCAAATGGCTGCTACCAGTGTTCTCACTAGAATAAAGAAAGCAGAGAACATCAGCCTGGTTCTGAAGTCGCTGGTGAAGATTCCCAGTCATCCAGGTCATAGTCATTCCAAAAAAGTAAAAAAAAAAAAAAACAATCCACTGGACTTTGTGCCCAAGTTTGAAGATGTTTTGCTTCCCATCCAGGAAGCTTTTTCAATCAATTGACATTTTGAATTAAAAAAAAGCTTCCTGGATGGAAAGCAAAACAAATAAAAACTTGGAAACAAAGTCTAGTGGATTGTTTTTAACTTTTTTTTTTGAAGTTCTGAAGTCCTTCCACTGGCTCCCTGTAGCTCAGTCCTTCTACTAGTACTAGTCTACTAGTCTATAAATCACCGAATGGATCATCAACTAAATATAGCAGATTTGTTGTCAGTGGATCAACTTCCCAGACCACTTAGGTCTTTTAGTTCCAGTCTACTCTGTACACCCAGAACTAGAACCAAACATAGAGAAGCAGCATTTAGTTCCTATGCTCCATTTATCTGGGAAAAAAACTTCTATTGGAATGTAAAAGAGCTGAAAGCCTGAGTTCTTTTAAATCAAAGTTAAAATCCCATTTGTTTAGAGCTGCCTTTGACTCTTAACTGAGGTATCATTATTTTGTGATCTGACTGTTTTATTTGACCTACTTTCCGTTTTTTTTTCACTTGCTTTTATTTTGCTGCTGTTTTTCAGTTTAATTCACGTAAAGCATTTAGATTTTTATTTTTACTGAATTGTGCTTTACAAAAAAAAGCGTGCCTTGGTTTATTAGAGAACCCTACCTAGAAGTGATTGCAGTAGAACTCAATTAGGTCAAAGTAATAAATCACAGAAAACCAGTTGTCAAAATAAGCTGATTTTTAGTGTGTGTGTTCTTAAAACATATCTACTATAGAACTCCTAACGTTCTGTTTTTGTTTGTCATTATGCTTTGCCACCCTGAAATTAATGGTGTCCTGACTGAAAACGTCCTTAATGTGCCCCTGCTTTTTAAAAGGGAGCAGGCTGTTTAACTCCATATACATTCTTTTGTCTTTTGTTTTTAGCTACGGCGAGTGCACAGATGTTACTTTAACTTTTTGTTGTCATTTAATACAGGCTTCAAATAATCTAATGTGCAGCTCATTTGATCTGTGTTTTCTTTATCATCATATATAATGAGCCCAACTGCATCCATTTTCATTTGAACCTTAAAAATAAACCTGTATCTTGATTTTTGTTTGTTTTTTCCCCTCTCTTTTTGTTCCTCTTAGCAAGGATGGGAACTGGAATTTGCTGAGCTGTTGAAAACATTCTTTCCTCTGATCTACATCTGAGGTAAGGAGCAGGGGGTCTTCAGGAAGCAGGGTTCTCCAGGATGGAGGTCATGGCACGTGTTCTTCGCCATCCATTTAACCCACATGGCTCAAAATTAGCTGCTGTTGAATCACATTTTACAAAGTGGATTTAAACACAACTTTGTGTCCACATCAGAGGTCTGCAATCATCACTCACCTTCACTCTCCCCCTCTGTATATCTTATGCTACGTTCACACCGGACGCAGCAGGCGCAGCAGAAGCAGCGAGTTTACATGCAAAGTCAATGGTTGACGCGCGTCAAGGCGCAGCAAAAGTTCCCGCAGCGCGTTTTGAGCAGCAGGCGCAGCGCGTCTGAGCAGCTGAAGCAGTGTGTCGGAAGCGTTAAGCATCTGATGCGCCGCAAACGTGCTGCTGCTCGGGATGAAAATTTTTAACTTTTGCTGCTCGACGCGCCGCGTCAACCAATCAGAGAAGCTGATCTGGGAGCTGGCAGGGAGACAGACACAGCGCTGATGACACAGAGCGCTGTGATCACTCCTCTGAAACAGTTTATTGACGCATACATTTACATAAAATGCAGAAATCTGCCGGCAGAATATGTTCGCNCGAGATGGAAAATTTTAACTTTTGCTGCTCGACGCGCCGCATCAACCAATCAGAGAAGCTGATCTGGGAGCTGGCAGGGAGAGAGACACATCGCTGATGACACAGAGCGCTGTGATCACTCCTCTGAAACAGTTTATTGACACATAAATTAACTTAAAATGCAGAAATCTGCCGGCAGAAAATGTTCGCTTTTATTATCCTGGTGCCTGCAGTTTGGATTATTTTGATAAAAACCACCTATCAGCCGCCGCGGTGAACCGCGAGGAGGCAACCCGGCCAGAGGCTGCTGTTGAATGGGATTCCTACTGACAGCGCACCGCTGGTATGTGGGGGTCTGAGCGCCTCCGACAGATATAATATTAGAAGGCAGGATGGTAATCTGGATGAACTGACTGCACTGATTAAGTTTTCAGGTGGATTTTACCACATAAAAACATATTAAAACTACTTTATTTCCACTGATCACAGCAAATATAGCTGCAAGTCAAAGAAAGGATAGAGTAGCTCTGCCCAACGCGCGTCAGACCCACTTTTTCACCGCGCAGCCAGAGCAGCAAAGCTGGTTTAGCCGTGCGTCAGAACTAACAGGTACAAGCAGCGAAAATGAAGCAGCGGAGGCGATTTTGCTGCTTCTGCTGCGTCCGCTGTGAAAGCAGCATTAAGGTTTCATCAGGACAATAGGTGACCCATGTGTGGCTGGTCAAAGGTCATCAGGAAATTGCAGTCTAAGCAAAGATTCTGTGCTGTCATGAATGCTGCACAAAAAATAATGATTAAAAAAAAATTATCAAGATAAATATGTCCACAGGGTTGCTAAACTGATGGTAGTCATATATTATAAAATTAAATATTTCACCTGCTTTGTTTTCCTATTGTTGTAAAGGGCTGTGGTTGTTTAGCTGAGCAGCTCCAGTGTTTCCTCCTTTATACTGTGTGCAGGCACCGTGCACAACCTTTTGTGTCAGTTTATAATAACTTTAAAGGAAAGCCGTTGGTGCTCTTCTAACCCTGAGGACGTTTCAGCAGGCAAATCTGCAGGGAAACAGATGATAAAGCCCTCATTGTTGTGTTGGTGCAAAGGCACCTCTAAGCTATGACAGAGCCTGACAGATCAAAATATAAGCTATATTTAGGGTTTTTAAAGTTTAAAAATTATTAATTATTGCTGGAATGTATTAAAAATATAGTATTTTATTATTTTCATATTGATATTTCTGTGATTTATTAAATATATAACAGTATTTGGACTTTTTAAATGTATTGCAGGGTTTCAGTTCCCACAAACCAGCTGCTTTGCTTTAATGATTCTCCTCCTGAAAGATGCAGTAGGAGATCTTTTCTGACGCATTTTTTACCATGTGGCTTAAAGATCTCCCCATAGCCGCTTAGCAAGCAGTGAAATAGAAGGTCTGGAGGTGAAACTGAAATAAATACAGTGAGAAATTAATGTATACCTCAACCAATCACAAAAGACGGTCCGTTGTACACGATTGGTTCCTGACACGTCAATCATGGTCATCTGCTTGTCCCTCCCCCCTGTGCCCGTACCCTGACACATGAACAAATCTACCCCCCAATGCTTGTGCAAGACGCCATGGCTGGAAGCTAGCCACTGTTATGCTACGTTCACACCTAAAGCAGCAGGAGCAGCAAAAACTCGCGTTCTGCTTCATTTTTGATACTTGTACAACTTTAGTTCTGATTCGCGGCTGAAGCATCTTTGCTGCCCTGGCTGTGCGGTGGAAAAAGTGGGTCTAATGCGCGTTGGGTGGAGCTACCCCATCCTTTCTTTGCCTCTAACAATGGCAGCTACTGTATATCTGCTGTGATCAGTGGGTAAAAAGTAGTTTGAATCTGTTTTGAAGTGAGAAAGTCCACCTGAAAACATGGTCTGTGCAGTCAGTTCATCCAGATTACCAATCAACAGCAGACTCTGGCCCGGTCGTCTTGTTGCGGTTTGCTGCGGTTTGCTGCGGCGGCTGGAAGGCATCTGCGGAGGCCAACTGGGGTTCAAGGAGACAGAAGCAGAGACACAAAAAGCAGCTGTATTTGCCTTATGTGCTTGGTAATTTTAAAACATGAAACATGAACTTTGTGCATCCTTTATCACTATTTAAAGTCAGAATTTTGTGTGTTTGTGTTAAAGCTCTGAAACGAAAACTTATGAAACTTTTTCTTGTTAAGTTTCCTTGTTGAGTTTGAGAGCTTCAGATCAGGACAAAATAAATTCTTGGTTGACATCATGTCTAACCTTCAAACATCACAAAAAAAACGACAGCAGACTTTAGCTGCACTTACTGGGTAATTATATCCAAGGAGAATTCCCATTTTTATCTTTTCTGGATGCGTTTGAAGCTGCTGAGCCATGGATTCCTCTGATGAAGAGGAGGAGCGCACCTTCATCCGGGTCCTCAGTGAGAAGTATAACCCAGAGAACTTCCCCTATGGCCAAGGTGTGGTGGTTCTGCCCAGCCCTCCAGGATCCCCTGTTAAAGGTAACGGAAAAGGCCTTAATATTTTATACCTGATTGAAAGTTCTACATGAACCAACTTTTGTTTTCCTTGGTTACAGACCGTCTGTTCTTGCCCAACTTTCTGGTTCTGAATGACTGTGGGATCAGTAAAGCTGGCGACAGGTCTGATATTGAAGCTTTCTGTGCTCATGTGCTAGAACTGGATTTGGCCTACAATCAGTTAAATGACTGGGGAGAGGTGAGTCTGCTTCAACACATTCTAAACCCCTTACGAATAAAAATAGTACGTTTTCCCAGTAACTAACAGAGGGCTTTCTCAAAACCTGCCAGTCATCTTTCCTGAACTGACAGGGAACTCTCCCGAAACTTCTATGGAGCCATTAAGGAGCTTTCCGAAAAAAGAAAATTAAAAACAACCCACTGGACTTTGTTTGCCAAGTTTGAAGATGTTTCGCTTCCCATCCAGGAAGCTTTTGCAATTAAAAATGTCAGGAGTAGCGTTGTGTTTGAGGATGAATTTGCATGTTTTCAAAACAAAAATAAGGTTTTGTTGGGCTACTATATAAAACCTGAAACTCATTCATTAATATCTTCAAAGCCAAAGCAGCACAAACGAAAATGTTTGCTTCACAAACCAGCACAAACGGAGCTAAGTTAATCGACACCCATTTCGTTCGATGACCTCTAGAAATATTTCTTTATATCTTTAAAACGATAGCGGCACAAACAGAAATTTTTGCTGCACAAACGTTTGACACTAATTTTGTCTGATTTGAAGGAGGTGAGGGGGCCAACTTCACTCAGGTGAAACTCACCCCTCCTATAGGGAGGGTGGGGGGTCGGGGCAAGGTGTCAAGGCTGTGCTTCCATTAAATGCGCTTCCCTTATATGTTAAGACTTGTTTCCAATTTATATTTTAAAACCACAGGAAGGCTAAATTAGCATTTCTGAGTTAATACTCGAGAGCTTTTGAGCTGTCTGTCATTAAAAACATGCTGGATTTGGAAAAGTTAACAGGCCTTTCGAAATGATTCC